GGACTACACTACACTACATATCATATCATATCATATCATACTTATCAGTCCGAGCAGCGTTTATTTATTTATAAACTACACTACACTACAGTTGGATTTCCAGTATTAACCCACAGGACATCCTGGTTATATCAAGGTAGTAAAAGGTCACGCACGGCTAGTCAGATTAAGTTTGACACAAGTATACTGTGTGTCGGAACATAGTGGTGTCGGAACATAGTGGTGTCGGAACATAGAGATGTCGGAACATAGGGCAGTCCCCCCTTCTCAGACACCCCCCTGTTCGCGCAAGCGCGGACATTGGCCGCTTACGCGGACACAAAAGTGTCCCCCTCACTTTTCAGAATGGATCAACGCCTCTGAACGATAACTGTAGAATATAGTAAATAAACAGGTGATTTCAACGATAATCATGGCATATCGAAATATGACGATGTGTGACAACAAAGAGGAAATGGCGATCAACATTCTGATTTACCCCCTATCGAATCAATATACAACGGGCTGAAACAGCAATTGCAGTCTATGAATGATATGATAAAGACAAATACAAAACACGTAGCTAGCTAGCCAGCCTGATGCTTAGCCACTGTATGAAGGACGTCCTTCATACATTAATACTGGTACACACATGGATAGAGTCACATAGTGCATAATTAATCACGTGTCCCAATACAATGTATTACAATACTGTACTATGGAAAGTGAATGACAACACGGTTTTACATCATGACAGCGCCATTTCTATCTTGAACTAAGAAACCACAAACAACAGAGGCGGACACAGTCACTTGTGTTTTGTTGGCTAGCATATTCGTGTGTCCATTGTGTTAACGGCCTGAAACCAGTCATTACGGTGGAAAGGCCGATAGTGAAAATGACACGATATTGATAACAATTAACGCGTCACTCTGGAACACAGGTGGATGCATTTCGCTTGTCCATATCATGCTGAAGTCAGTACACACAGTCCTACACGTCTGTGCGGTCAGCGGCAGGACTCACCAAATGCTGGTACTCACCACAACTGCTGACGCGGTTGCTGTCGATGCACCTTTGGCGTTTCCACCAAATAGTTTCCGTAGAAATTCCATACAATGATGTTACACTAGTTGCTTCTCTATTATTTAAATGCTTTCATGTAGCCGGCAGGATATTTTCTATATATGTATCAAAGTCCTCATCGAAACCCATCACAAGACAGTCAGCTGACGCGGCGAACGCAATGTTGACAATCTGAACAAACCGAGGCCAATTATCAGTTAATGAACTTATACTTCCGGGTTACGATCTAGATGATGGCGCACTACGACCTTAAACCCATTACTGAATGGAAAAGCTCGAGTTACAAACGTGACCACGCCCATATTTTAGAAACCACGCCCACTTTTGCAAAGCCACGCCCAAATTATAACTCGATGTTCAATTTAAAAATTAACCGAACTTGATTTTACACTAGTTTAGGATTATAGGCGTAGTACTAGTAGGCATGGGAGAAGTTTGTTGGTGCCACCCTCCCACATGTACTGCCGTCTGAGTAGAAACCCTCAAAATTTACCCGTCATAAACCAATTAAACTCCAGTGATGATGGGCTGCGCTGTAAATAAAGTTGTTGTTTTTCGTGATTTGTTTAGCTATGAACTAGACTATAATATAACGAGATAAAAACAAGAAAACAGTAGTCTCAATAAATAGCGATAAATTATTTGTGTAACCAAAGGTACCAGCTTAACTTTAATAACACATACCATGGAGATAAAAACAGGCATCGAACGTCTGAAATTATATCGTACATTTTAATTAACGATTAATGGCAAATATCATGAATATTCATATGCATTGCAATCGCCTCTACTATACAAATGTACTAGTATTATTGTTATGAACAGATATTTTTGCAGCAATCATAATTTTTATTATACACAGGGCAATTGAAAAAAAATATGTTTGATTTATTTAGAAGTAGTTTCTTTCTTTTTATTTGACCACTCGAACAAACCCGCATGGAAATATTTCTAAAAAAAAGACGGGAAACGGGTTCATTCTCCGATGTCACGTGACAGATCCAAGATGGCCGCCTCTAGAGGTGAAGTTTATCAGCGACAGAGGCAAAGAAATCCGCTAACTGATGCAAATGATGACAATATTAGGCAGAAACAAAAAGCTGTTGAGAAACTACTTGGTATGGAAATCAAGCCAACGAGGATTTGTGAAAAAACATCGACCGGTTCAGGAGAAATTAGACCGAGTTCCCGCGAGTACACGGAAGCCGTTTCGCGATGGATATCGGAGTACCGAATGTTCCAAGGGATGTGCTTTAATATATCCTTGTTGAATCCAATGACATTTCAATCGCCTATACCACCAGCGACGGGATTCGGCATCCCATCCAATGCACAGAACGGTTTTGTGCCTTCGTTTGGGCAAAACAACGTCCAATTCCCAGGTCAACAACAGACTCCATCGACGCCGCACCCGTTTCATCAAAGACAAGAAACCACGCAAACGCAAGAATTACAATGTATGTTATTGTTGTTTTCTCATGTGTTTGTGTATTTCCTAGTAGATTCGATTTATGACATATGTACGTCTGTCATTTATCATCATAATACAGCTGTGTGTAATTATGAATATTAATCTTAAAATGGCATCTAAATCCTAATAATTATGCCAAATGTAATAACATTTTAATATTTATTCAATAAAGAAATATGTATACGTATATGTAAATTAATTTGGAGTGTATGAATTTAAAATACATTTTTTTTTATAATACCACATTTACAGTTAATAATAGCCTAAATATATGCGATTATTTGTACATGTACTGGGTATATACCAAAATCTGGCTGTTAACCAAATCCATATGGATGCATTGTGACGTTTTGTGTGTCTAGTTTTACATATGTGCTTTAGTACGCGTGTTTGAGTGCAATATTAAATAGTTTGTATTCATATTACATGTGATTCTAATCAGTGATGCTTTACATCTAATTTTTTTTAACTAAAGTACAGTGTTGGTCATGTAGTGCGTGTTTGGATTTCGTATAAACGTATAATTTATTTTACATGTGTTGTACACGTCTCTCTGTGTGGCCAATCATTGAACATGATTCGGTGTGACTAATCATGGTGTATTTGAATCATCATCATTCAAATTCCGCATATAATTTAATTGACAAATTAATTGATTTTTATGCATGAAATATTGTCTTGGTAGTTTGCGCAAATTTATGCGCGTGTGTCAAAAACACACAAGTACCATTCCATCTCAACACATTTCATTTCTTAGTTGAAAACCATAATTTGGTCTGAGTTTGCTTCAGTTAGTATGGTAAGATTCACAAACTGAAATATCAGTAAAAAATTACTGTTGTGTGATTGCGTAAGTAACCATAGAAATAAATTATCACAGCTGTGTAGTAGTCTGTCCGCATGTATTACAGTATGTTTGTAATTATTTATTATTATTATATATCATGTATTTAATTATACGCAATTTTATATCCCTCAAATATTTGAAAAAATGAATACAGCTTATTTTCAGAATTTGTATCAAGTTTTTCCCATGTTTTTTAATTGTAATTATTATTTTAATTTCTTGTATAATTTTACAGGGAAAGAATACCAAGTACCATCAATTTACAGAAGAATTGCAGCAGAATTTATTGATTTTATTATACTATTTACTGTCAAAGTTCTCTTAACTTTGTTTCTAATGGATTACACTGATGCAATTGGGTAAGATTTCAGTAAACCAGTTTTAATGTTTGCTCTTGGTAATGTGAGGGCAATTATTGTGAAATTTTGTTTTAAATTACTTCAAAATTTTAGGGTTTTAAATAATGATCATAGTTCATAAATACAGGTATTCGTCTTTTGGAAAATTTAACCAGTTTACAGTTTCAAGTCAGCAGACATCGGTGTTTATCACCGAATCAAGCCGTCATAGGCGCATGTACTTATCATTGTATCCTTCACGCATGTTTATTATTTCGATAGTATGAAAAGTGCGTTGTGTCATTTCATCTACTCATTTTTTGTTTAAGGAAATTTAGTAGATGAACATAGTTAATTTGCATAACATATAGGGGGGAAGGGGTGTATTTGCATTGTGGTTTACATATTTGCTGTAATTTCTATAGATGTTCACAGTCATTGTAGACTTTCACCCTATGACAGTATTGACATGTTTTCAGTTAATTCTGAATTACACCACATCATTTGTTTTTTCTTTTTAGGGACCAGACAGATTTCACAATGAAATTCTTACTTGAAGAATTAGATGAAGAAGCCACAATTGATGATTTACAACAGATGTTGGTTATGGCGACAGTTTATAGATTGTCTGTCTGTGTTTATGAGGTAAGGACACTTACCAGTAACCTTTTCACCACCAGACATTCTTGCCGAAACTGTTCTGCAATTTTTTTCTTATATTCTTCAATATTTCTGGAAATGAACCCAAATTTTGGAGCCAACAGACAACATTTTCAGTTTTTACTCCAAAAATTTGGCTATTTTTGTTTCAATCTTCTGAAGGAAATTGCAGACTATAAACAGTGAATTTGTGATGAAAAGAGGGAACTGGTGATGAAAAGGTTAACTTTTACACATATTTTACTACCCCATCTGTCTTTAGACAAAATAATGAAATTCAACTATTTTCATTCAGATGACTGTAGTTCAACTTTGTGCTTTTTCTCTCAGACCATCTTTCTTACGAGAGGTGTACGATACTTTGGTGGTGCCACCCCAGGCAAGTATCTGATGGGACTACGTGTAATATCTAGCGATCGTGTTGTAAATTTAGGTAGTGAAAAAGTACTGGTGTTCAATGGCAAAGATATTGGAATGCTCAGGTGAGTTTCGGTTGTATTGTTAAATTAAATTAATGATTTCCTCTTTAGGGGCTAGCCTAACCCTTTGCTTTTTCCAGCCAAAATGTTCATGCAACATTTTGCCATTTTCTAAGTATTTTTCTATAATTTTTTGATCATTTAGAACCAAATGAACGTAAATTTCTATTGGCTGCAGTTGTTGATCACAATTTTGGAAAGAATTTGACGTTGGAACTCCAATTCTACTACTCATTTATTCAAAATGGCCGAACACAATATGATTTTTCTCTTAATCTCTCTATTCTTGTTTTTGACAGTGCATTGGTGCGTTCCTTAATCAAGAACTTCTCGATGGCATTTTTCTTTCCTGTGTATATGACAATTCTTTTTTATCATCACAATCGAGGTGTCTATGACATCATAGCTGGCACTATGGTGGTCACTGGACCAAAATATCGCCGCCAGAACTAGTGCCAAAATGAAGCGTGCCGACTGTGGTGCTTTAAGCACCGTTGCCTAGATACTATCAGCCGTGTGAATATTTAGCCTGATGATGCATAATAATAAGTAAAATGCTCCATGATCGGAGCTGACATCATTTGCATATGTGTTATAGAGGTCAAGAACACCTTACACACAAAAATCGTAATTTCTTTAGTTAAAGATACAATATGAACGAAAACTCATTGTTTTTTTTGGATGTGCAATGTATAGCATTCGTCAAATGAGAAACCCTACTACACTTATGCAGTGGTTGTTGATTGTACGTACCAAAACAATCAGTGTACATGTGTATTATAGAGTTTCATTGTTTCGTCAAATGAATTTTCGGGTTTCTGCTACAAGATCAGCATTTTTATTTTGGTTCAAAATGAATGATAATCCAATGTATCCATCAACATAATAATATTCAAAAGGGACTTTTTGCCGTTCATAATGCAACATTACTTTGTGAAGTTAGCAAATGAGAAGAATTCTCAAAAAAAAATGTTTGATTTCAACAGATCTGTTGGAAATATACATTTCTGTTTAAATATCTACTCTAGAAACTGATATAGTGTGCTTTTTTGCATAGTTATTTGGTGTCTTTGTTATAAAATGGTGGTTCAACCACCTAAAATGACGAAATGTATATGAACATTGTTAAGAGGCCCTGGATAATTAAAACATTCGTGCGACAAATGTAATCACTGATCCTTAATCTCACCTTTCCACATAAACGAAGGTTTTCGAGTGTTAGAATGTATGGAAACAATATTGTATTCAAACTTCAATAACATTTGATGGAGTCACTGGCTTTTTTGCTTTTTTCAAAATATGCATTTCAAAAACAGATTATATTGTTGTTATTTTTACATAATGGGGGATGGGGGCTTATATTGAATTGATGACATATGAAATTTTGCCTATTGCCATTAATGGAATAATGGAAGTCAAGGTTGACCTATATCAAGGTTTTTATGGTTTATTTGATCCAGGAAATGCAAGTTTTAAGCAAGATTAAGATTCCAATTTCAGACTTTGATCCAGCGGATTTAAAATCAGCGATAGGCAGAAGCTTTGGTTACCTTTATTATGTGGTCTCCACATAATTGTGACCAATGTGTCAACCAATCAGAATACTTCTCTTACTCACTCATGCCTAAAAAACTATGTAATACAAGTTCTGATTGGCTGCTACAAGATTTAAACATGATTTATTCATAAATAATCAGAGCTTCTACCTACATTTAGAAAATAATGAACAAACACACACAAGTTGTTCTAGCATTTCTATGTAAGCGCACATATCTTTTTCATTATTCCAACCCCTATCTTACTATTTTTACTCATAATTATCAGAGTATTGATATTTCGTATTTATTGTAAATTACTTTGAAAATCAAGAGTTAATGTTTGGCCATTTTATGGCAGCATTGTTTTTATAACAAACTAATCAACTTGTAAGTATTATTATGAACTACAACTTTGTAATTCCAGAGATCAATGTGATCCTGTGCTGCCTAAGTGCATACTTTTGCAGTATTCTCATTGTGTATACATATTTTTCTGCTTGTGGTAATAATTTAGTTGTAATAATTTCATGTGATTTATACCTTTGAACCGTTCCATTCAGCGACAATGTTCTATTTCTGTCATGTTTTATATGATAGTGTGATTTAAACAAAGATTTTCTTTGAATGTTATCTCTATAATCTGGAACGTATTCAATGTTTGTTACGTTGTTAACCTCGAATAAGGGTTGAATGAGTGCAAATACAGTTTGAATAAATGCTTTTCATGGAACACTATAATTATTCTAGTTAAAGCGATTGGGTCATCACCTGCGCATACGCAGGAATTGAATCCCAAGCAATGATAACAACACATGTAGTGGCTCATGGGTAGACGCTTGTTTGTAAACAATGACAAGCTATGGCCATCTGACGTATGCACAGACGATGACTTCCCCCGCTTTAAGCTAATAACCCAAAACGTGTTCTATCTTGGCAGAAAATTGTCTGAGTATGTTGTAACACTGAATAAGTAGAATATTGTTTTCAAGAATAGTAATTATAATCACTAATATCTAAATTAGATGTCTTAGTTTTACATTATCAAATTCATTTCAATGAATAGTCCAAAATTTGACTAAATTTGTTTAATTCAGATAGTAGTGATGACAACAATAATGTATCCCCCACAGCATCAGATTTGATTTGAAGAAGGGTCATGACGCGATAATGGGTTTGGCTTCACCTAGAATATTATCTTGTCATAGACCCATCTCATCCAATATGAAGATGCAGTATTTATTATTGTTCAAGTAAATGGTCTTGTAGCTGTGTATTCTCATAAAAATCCAGTGTCTTTTCATTTCTCACTATACACAAGTTTTATTGATGCCAAAACAAGTTTATTTAACAACTGAAGACAAAATTCTATGCCAATGAAAAATAAAATGAATGGTTGCCCTAGTAACCAACTGTGATTGGATTTTAATGGCTTACAGGAAGGTGTTCTCTTCCCGTTTCCTGTTGCATGCTGGATCAGTTCTTTGACAGTTGAATGGAATGAGTTGATGGTCATTGGCTGATGCACAAGAATACAGTAATTACAATGTTATACAATTTGATTAAATAAATATACTCGTTTCTGTGTAAATCACTCATAAGTGGCATTCACGCATTGTTCCTTAACACTGGCTAAGAGGTCAATTACATATGAACAATTTATTATTATATTCGTAACTATTCATTTCAGCATGCCATTTCCAAGATGACAGTCAACATGAGCACATCTTGGGACATTGTTCTTGAGAAAAATATACTCTAGAGTAAACACTAAACATGCTTTAATCTATCCTAATTTTGGCATTTATACATGGGTTCATTTGATTAAACCAATGCCAAAGGCCTGAGGAAGTCACTAGTTGACATTGGACAGATGATCTATTTATCCAGGGCTCCCGCATCTGAATTGCATTAGAACTGCACATACGTTGTCACCACATAGGCAAGCTGACCACAGTCATTTGTATTGCTGTATATAACAAATGTTAAAAGTTTCCTATCAGTATCCAAAGTCATCTTTATATAAATAACTTTTCATAATCCACAAAATCCCAAATTATTTCTGTTTGCATTTCATTAAAGTACTTGTAATTTTCTCCTACGCGCGTGCTTCAAAACAGGGTTTGTTTGTACATGTATGAATGTTGTACTTGTTCTGCTAGTCAAGTTTACATAGGATAGGATATGGTATGATATGCAGTGTATAATCGAAACACATGCATACCTCATAAAGGTCATCTTTGACTTGTGTAATTCGCCAATAATCTTGTCTTGTGAGTTATTAGAAAATAATGATCGTTGTTTCCAGAGGCTTAGAAATCCCATTTTTGTATGAAAGAAAGATTTAAAATGTTCGTCTCAAGGGGGCAGCGTTGTGGGAACTGCGCCATCGCGCGGCGATTTGTAGTTACCTACAACATGCCAGTACGTAGCACATAGTGAGTTGTACCCGGAGCATTTTGTTTGAGGTTTCCAATAAAGCGGAATATGTATTTACTCCCCGTGACTGTATAAATATAAACATTAAATAGCAGCTGACTCTTCAAAAATGTGAGCCTATTTGTTTTAAAGGAACATTCAAAGCGCGGTGGTCGTCGCGCAGCGCGTGTTCGAATATTATGTAGATAAACAATGTATTTTACATGCGTTGTATACGTCGCTATGAGTCCCATGTCGAAAAGGACGCGGCGCAACGACTGTCGCCCTTTAATCCAATCCAGTATTCTAATTACAAGCTGACTCCACCCACACCGCCATATAGTGTGCGTCTCATTCTTCGGACACCTTGCTTGAATTGCCTTCTTACAGTAAAATTTGATTTTAAGCAAATAAACATTATTTGAATCATTAGAACTGACCCCACGATTCAAATTTAAAAGTGATTTCATGACTAATATATGACAAGTAATTTTAATTTACCATTTGATAGAATGTTTTTATTTGTTGATATAATTTCTTGCATATCCGACAGTTGTGACCGATTTTGCTAAAAGCTGTTACATCAAAGGCAATGTACAACATCAATTTAGCTCAGTTGAGATGCGTGTCAGTTTGCTCACTAAGTACATTTATTAAAGTTGTAGTGTCGGCGAAATTGAGCTCGAGCTTTAAAGTGGGAGAGTCGTCACATGCGCATGCGTCAGATGGCCATAGCGTGTCGTTGTTTACAAACAAGCGTCTACCCATGAGCCTTTGTGTTTTTAACATGTGTTATCGTCGGTTGAGACTCAATTCCCGCGCATGCGCGGCTTTAACATGTCAAGTTGTTGTAACAAATTGAACAGCTACGGTATTCACAAGACATTCACATATTCAGAAGTTTTTTGCCAAAAGCCGAACATCTCTGAGTAGTTCCGTAGATTCGGCCCGGGAGATTCGGTTGTGACATTCTCGCTGCCAGAGCTTATTTTCGATTCGACACTCCACGAAACTCCTCTCTGCAAGCTTGCCGTAAAAGCTTGCCATAAAAAGGCCGTGGTGTACGACGATCTGTTTAGCGCGCACCGAAGAAGAATTCGAAATGTAGTGTATGACGGGATACATTTTTATTAAAAGTCACTCAAAATTGAAAGGCCTTCCAACTACGCTTTGTCGACAATACAACTTTAGGGCGGCCATGATTTAAATTGCGGAAAATGATTGTTAATATATTAATAAAATTCTCAGATCTTGTTTCACGCGTAAACATATTTAATGCGATGGCTAATCTGATTAAAATAAAATCCTAGTTAGGGCTTTATATTATTTTTTTTTATTTTTTACCACTTATTTTTTAATTATTGATTTTTATCTTTTCACTATAATTTTATCTTTACTTAATTTTATTTGAAATTAGTAGTTATTATCTGGCAGTTTTTTTTAAAGTTTTGGTAATCGCGAAAGCCCAAAGAGTGGCTATAGTTAAAGTAATACAAACTAAGATGTACGTACTAATAATAGAAATAATTACAAAATAATAAAAAAAAATATATAGTAAAAATTAAATTAAATCAAATTCACACCGTACAATACATCAAGTTATAATCAGATTGGGCTATGACGAAATGTGGTCGGGAAGGAGAAATTACTCCATTCTGTAAAACAACTATGTATTGTCGAAAGTCACCAGCGCCCTCATGGGGGGGGGGAGTTTAATCAAGAATGATTAAATTAAATGTTGTCAGATTTCATTCCAAGTAAGCCTGCTTATTGTGATCCTGGCGCTTACGAGCATGACTCCACAGATGTCTACGTTTCCAACGCCCATCAACGATATAAAGAGCGATTTAGTGTCTATATGTGGTATTTCACCGTGACGTTGCAGACATGGTATTTGAAGAATGATTGCTACTACTTTGACTTAGATTACAGGGAAAGCCACACACCAAGACACCATACAGTGCACGTGAATATGATACTGAGTGTATTAATGTTGTTGGTTATATTGATAAAATTTAATTATGCGTCAAATTCAAACGCAGAAGTTTCAAATTTCAAACTGTGGAGTTTTATGAGACAACTTGAGCGATTTTGAAGAAGAAAAAAAAACAATTTCGCCCCCAGCGGTGAATTATTATTTCTGGCCCAATTACTCACCAAAATTGTACACGTAGTGCGGGGTTACGTCATTTCACCCCCACAAGTCTCACCGAGGAAGGGTAGGGAGAAAACATGCCTCGCGATACTAGGAACGAGCGTATCAATAAACAATATACAACTGTAGATTGTAAGACTGGTGGTATTGTCATCATTTATTAGTAGTGGCGTAGTTGAATTTAAAAGAACCAAACTTAGAAACATTGGTATAGTTGATGATCAGGGTAGCTTCTATGATTTAATATTTTTAGTTGATACAAAACGCGTTGTATATTGTTTTTGTACTTTTGTGATATACATACCGGGGTTATTAATGGCTATCACAAGATAGTGCAGTACCACGAGTGGTGATACAAAAGATAAACGCGCTTGATGAACAAACAGAGACATCCTTCCGCGGCACTCATTCACTCGCACCAGTTTTTTTCTGGACTCATCAGGTAATTTTGAGTACAGCCTCCAGGTTCCATTTCCACCAGGTTATGCACAGAATGGCAAATATTCCCTACGATATACCCCGGTCCAAGATTCGTGGCAAATTGTGGTCGGCGTAGTTTGCTAGAATTTGTACAGATGAGTATTGTGTGGATTAGAATCGGTTCTTGTTTCACTGACTTCAAATTAAAATATATGTATTTATACTATTAGCATCGCATTTAATTACATAAATAATTTTATTGATAATAGTATACACACAAATCTAACTCAGTGTTGGTTTACATGCGTTTTTATAGAGCACATACGGTTCAAAACAGTATGATTTAAAAATATATAGTTTGACAAGTCTTGAAAATCGAACCTGGATATGCGGCGTTTACATAAAGCTTCTTCACCACCCTCCCCCGGCTGATGTTAATATTATCGTGGAGCTAAAAAAAAAATAGTTACATGATATTATGAAACATATATTGTTTCGGGTTTATCCCTTAACACATAAAGTAATACGGCGTGTTATAAATCTAACAGTTACGCATATCGCTGTATAATCTTCTTACCAATATAGGCAACGGTCATTTTGTTTTGGTACCTTTGTTTATACAGTTGACAGAGTATCTTAGGTTGGTATTGACGAGTCACCGAATCGCATGGTGGAAATTATTGCTTGATGATTAGCAGATGAGATGAAAAAGTGAAGCAATTCTAATCTCCTTGATAATCGGTCAACAAAGCACATTAGCTGTTTGTTTACTGTGCAGTCTTTAGGATCCTTCATATTTGTTCCGGACCGTTGTTGCCATGGCGACCGAGCTAACTTAGGACATGATTGCGTACTCCCTAAGTTCGTTGTAGGTAGCTGAATTCGCAGAGCGACAGCATTTCAAACCATGTGACTTTGTAACGGTTTCCATACGGTAAAGAATTTCGACACTATATAGAAATCAATGCAACTTTAAAACTCACAAACAAATCACAACAAACACTGATTTTTAAGTTATTTTGTTTATTTCTAGGGCAATTAGTATCGAATACAAATATTAATCTGGTTTTAAAGAAACTCCCAAAAGAAACACCTTTTGTTTGTTTGTTTTTTACAAAACAATTCCAGGAACATCTTCAAAAATAATAAAGTAAACATTGCTGCTAATATGTAAGCATCACATGGTAAAAATGTACGGGGTTTGAAGCTTACTAAGTAGCTAGATTTCTCGTATCTTCGGTTCATTCCATTTTTTTTTTTTGTTACTTTTTGTTTTTTTGTTTCTTTTTGTATTTTGTTGTGTTTACTTTTCGTTTGGTTTTCATTTCAAACTTATTCTTTGGTAATATAATGAATTGATTTCTTGTGTTTCGATGTATATTGATGTTCAACGGGCCAGGGGTTGGTAGAGACGTCGCAATGCCGGACATCTTTGATTGGAACCGGAACCCAACTCTGTCACGTGTAGTATGGGTAAGAGAGACCGCGCTGGTAATATGCAAATGTAGGGGATATGTGGAACGTATCTTATCTGTCATTAGACAGACTTCTTGAACTAGAAAAAGAACCACCTGCTACGGGTTGTGCGGCATGACTGGAAAACAGAAATACAATGTTATGGAGAACACGACTAAACTGTGCAAAAGTAGACAATTAAATTACGCTGTGAATTTATATTAGTTGGAATTTCAGACTATCCTTTGGAGAAGATAGCTTCACATTTAGCAGGGGCGGAACGCAAGTTTAAAGCTGGGTTAATGTGCATGTTTCCATAGGAAATAGTACCATAAGTATTTCTCCGCCGGTCATGTGTTATGAAACGGGAACGGGAAAGTTCGACAATTAGAACGGAACTTTCGATCCAACAATATATATTTCAGCCCCTTTATTTTTTACACTTCAAAATTCTCCCGAGGAGAATAAGCTAGCAAAATATCAGAGCTAAGCAGCAACCATTGTAACAACATACAAAACAGAAATATATTATTGGCCAAAGAAAATTTCAACACGCGGGATGACGTTATACATACAAATGTATATTGGTGTTGCATTTGAACCTTGAACCTTGACCCCAATGTAACAAATAACAGGAAAATGTACGACCTTTCTCTAATCTGGGTTCGACCTGACCCCACTCTGACAAAACACCTAATCAAATAATGGCCAAAAATGAAATAAAACACGCGTTATAAAAGCATTCTGGTCAGTAGGACCATTCAACCCAGAATGTCACGTGGTCTAAGCTCGCCCAATTTTGTGTATACTATTCAGTCTAGTGACTCGTGGCACAAAAGATAGGTGTATACAATATTTCCAATAATAAAATAATATGTTTATAACACAAAAAAATCCTGCAAAGCAAATTTAGGGATAGGGGTATTCGCCACACTACGCAGTCCACCTCTGCCTTAGAGTCAAATACCAAATCACAGTGTCTACACACGTTCTGAAAGAGATTCATCCTGTCTTCCATCTTTCCATTGTAAAAGCCAGTCGTATTTCATCTGTGGGTGATCCGTTCTATTGTGACTTAGAATTTACGTGGATCAGCAGGACTACGCAAGGTTCGAAAGAATGCGCCAAACTTGAAACTACTGCTTTCTAAGATGATTAACACAGTAGGTGAGAACCTTAGATTGAGCATTGAGGACTCGTAAAAGATATCTTAGGGGGTCTCTCTCATATTCTTCACTGGATTCTCCTAAGTATGCCAAATCAGGGTTAAATTTACTTGATGACGCGGACGAGCCTACAGGAATAGTGCAGCTGTAACTTGAACGAGTCTTAGTAGGTGATTCACCATGATCTTTTCCTGAGTAGATCGGGTAACTGGATCGAGGCTTCCTGGCGAGAATGCTTGCAACACGGGAGTCTCGATCGTATTGGTTGGTGTATTTCTTGCGAGCTGATAGGTACTCATTGACATTCATACGTGGTGATTTCTTCTCGTATGCAGAGACACTTGAAATTTCAGACATCTTATCATCATCATCATACCTGGATTTGGAGTATCTGGTAGGACTGGCAGTTGAACTGTAGCCACTTGTGTAACTATAACTACGCGGTCTGCTTGTTGTCTTTGTCGTCGTCGTTGTTGTTGTGCCATACAGATTATCATCTGGTTTATATTTCTGCGTGCTCTGCCTGCTTTTGGGCTTGTAACTTGAGCTGCCTGGGCCATAGGTTGTGTAGGCACTGGTGTAACCATAATCCTTTGTATCTTTTGGCGAGCTGCGACTAGATGTGGTGCTGTCGGTGTACCCATAGTAACGAGATGGTTCGTAAGAGTAATTATCCACCAAAGAGACTTTGTTGTACCGCGCGAGAGATACGTTTTCCAATTCCTCGTCATCGTCGTCTACAAATTCAGGCTGAACCAGGGTTCTTGCAGACTGGTATGATGTTGTAAGGTCCGCCTCGTGGAGATAAGGGTTGAGGGGAGCTCGAGGACTGTATCGCGGGGACGACCATTCGTCATATTTTTTATTCATTAGATAGTTTCTCCTACTGGCACTGTTAGAAGTCTTCCATTTAGCCACATTTTCTAAAACATCGTCTCCAGGCTTATAGTTATGTGCACTAGATGCGCCGGTACCAGAACCGTATTTACTTTTAAACTGGCTACTGGACCGGGGCCCACTGTAAGAAGTTGTTGGGTAGTCTACTAGGCTTTGTGTTTCCCACTTGTCGCCACCACTTGTGTTATATCTGTAACTTCTCGTACCAGATAGACTCGCGTTGTCGTCGTCATCATCCCCAGGGCGATATCCCCGAACACTGCTGGTTTCGAATCGATCCGTAGCTGATGATGTACCGTAGCTTCGTCCCAGTGGTCTAGAATAACTATTATAGTCAGCACTAGCACGACGAGTTCTTGTACGGGGAAGATCGCGCGATAAATCACCAACACTGCCGTACGATCGTAGAGTTGGACTGGTATATGATCCGCTCGCCTTGTCCAATGTTGTCAACGTTTCATACTTATCCGGGTCGCTTTCTCGCATATATAGTCTGTCTTCGAGCGCCCCCACGCGGGGGTACATATTCCACAATCTTCTTCTTGTCTGGAAAAGCTCCCTCAGTGAGATTTCACTCTGGCGATCACGTTCCTCAATTCTATGTTCCAGGTCTCGCATATTATTATTATAGGCTTCCATCTGGAATTAAACACATATAAAATATAATAAAATCTCAAACTTGAACTCTAACGTGTGTATGTACACAACTTGAAACGGTGCATGGAATTTAATGGAATGTTAACCTCTTTGAAAATTGTGCTTCACCGCACAGAGCTTTGTCTGCGGGCTATATCTGGAAGCCTTAGGTATTCAGTTTCAATGAATCATCTAGACATTGAGAAGCCAATCTCCAGCTGGGTTCTCACTAGGTATTTGAAGAGAAAGTTGAAAAATAGAGTTTGTAACACGATAAGGTGACAGGTCGATTTTTAACTTGGCAGTGTTCATTAAACCACGATACACGAAATGGTTAAAGGGCGGTGGTCGTCGCGCCGCAAATGTGCGACATTTGTATTGATAAACATTGATTTACCCACAATTCAATGCGCTCTTCTAACGGAAATTACAAGTATGAGGTTTGACCTGCGCGACTTGCACTGAATACCGCCGGTGACTCTTTTGATACCTTCAAATCACCTAAAAAATATCTAATTAAAGCCTTGTAATGTCTCAGTTTGTACTCGTTGATCTGCGCAACAGTCAAAGTCGCCATCTTTGTTTATATGAGACCCATATATCTCGCTCAAATAAAACACGTCCAATTTTGGTACGTATTACGAATTGTTGAGTAATGTCCACAACCAATTGAAATTGGCGATAGTCTTACCCTGATGTCATGTTATGCAAATCACGCAGTTCAAAAGTCACGAGTTATCCAATTGAAAACAGCTTGTTAGTTAACCGTGGCACAGAAGCTAACACATGTTGTGTGGATATTGAAATGATCGCTAAAACTTTGTCTGTACCCGCCTTTCCAGATTTAACCTCAGACAGTTTACGGCACATTCCCTGTATGACTCATAACACAACAATTAATTTTTATTGGAAGACAGAATTGTTGCAGCGTTAACAACTGTGAACGGCTTCGGTCTTAATTAATCAGTATAGGCGTAACATGTATAATTTTGTCATTCATGCGATTTATTTTGTCTTTGACGGAAAGGGTGCGTAACGGTTTTAACAAGGCTGGCATTTAGCAATTTTAAAATTTACGTGATTTCTTTTGATTTGAATCTATTCGAATTGTGGTTGGAAAACAAATCAGAAAGCATTGAAAATAAATACCAACAAGCAGCCTGTCGGCTGAGATAGCTCCGCTGTTAGCAATGCACACTTCAATTAAAGAACAGAAGATATCATTAGAAAATGAACAATATGTATAGTATCAAAGCAACAAGACTTGCTGTTTTTACCATAAATGACAAAAATAATCATCAAAATTAGATAATTGAAGATATCACCACGAAATTAACAAATCTGAAAGAGGTCCACATGTAGTACCTATATATGTAATATAAAAGCAATCGGACTTGTGGTTTTTAACAAGATGTCGAAAATATAATTTTTTACCGAAAATGACAAAAATATTCACCAAAATTAGAGAATTGAAGATATCATCATGAAATGAACAAATCTAAGCGAGGTTTGCCCAAGGTACATATACACCAAGTATCGAAACATTCAGGATTGTTGTTTTCAAGAAGAAGTCGAAAAGGTAAAACATTGACGCGGACGACGACGGACAATCACTCATATGATAAGCTCCGCTCGACAAAATCGACAGCGGAGCTAAAAAGCGCGGGGAAACCGCTAACAAACCATGCTCTACGGGATAGAACCGACTCCGTATATATGTAAGAATTGGATGGTATTTTTTTACCAACCAGTCTACACGACATGTCCAATGATGAGATAGTACATGCCTTCAAACTAATAACCGCAGTCTGACGGTACTCGATGTGGAGATCGAGTTACAAACCTCTCTTTCATTCCTATCAGTGACCTCACACTATGGAACAATCCGTGTTTTACTGTCGCCGATACGTGGTGCACACCATGAATACTAATAAGATTCACTAGATATCATTTGTGTGGTAATACGTGAGTACGTCACTCCTACACTAAAAATAACCTCCCACGTTTTGAGATGCGTCTCAGATATAAAGATGGACAGCTACATGAGATCAGTATCACTTGTAAGCATCAGATATTAATGCAAACATGGTAAACATAGTAAGACTAAACTATTAGGATGATGAGCAGCTTTCGAAATGTACTGCTCATGGCTGAGGCTGTATGCGTACACATGGGTAGACCACAGTGACAACATTCGAAGCAGTTCTCTTCTCACTGCTTTCAAAGGCATACAAATATCGACCGAATCCTTGTCAGTAACATAATTATAAAGTAGTGAGAAATGTGGAAAAGATTATATTTGTTTACCAAAAATAATCACTAAGATTAGAATCATTAAATTCATGGTGTCTACACATATTGCGGAAGCCTTTTTCAAGAACAATAATATATTTTACTAACATTGGCAAGGATACTGAATAAAATTAAAGAATACAATATAGGCCCACATAAAGAACGATTCTGTAGTGCGACTTTGTAAACAGCGGACTTAAACATGTGTTGCCGTGTGCAAAATAATGATCAATTGTCTGCCACATAAATTATATACAAAAACAAGAGGTTTGCTAGTAACGCACAAGGATAATATTGTTACCAACTCATGTTACTAACACATTCATGTATCACATACACATGAATATGACATGCGATTCATTATTAAACACACCCGTAACGTGTTATGTTAATTACCATGTGATTATTAACAACATTATACCAGTACATAATGATATTATATTACATAATTACGTATATGAACATTGTTTATGCGTACATAATGTTTTATGTTTACTGTTTACATACATAAACAGAATTTTGATTACACACACATAATGCTTTATGTTCACAACATTTTAGTCACACACACATAATGTTTTATATTCACTATTTACATACATAAACATCATTTTAGTAACACACATAATGTTATATATTCACTATTTACGTACATAAACAGCATTTTAGCTACACACACAATATTTTATGTTCACAATATTTTAGTTACATACACATAATGCTTTATGTTCACTATTACGTACACAAACAGCATTTTAGTTACATACACATAATGTTTTATGTTCATAAAATTTTGGTTACATACACATTATCTTTTATGTTTACTATTACGTACACAAACAGCATTTTAGTTACACACACATAATATATTATGTTCGCAACATTCTAGTTACATACACATAATGTTTTATGTTCACTATTACGTACACAAACAGCATTTTAGTTGCATGCACATAATGTTTTAAGTTCATAACATTTTAGTTACACACACACATGTCTTATGTTTACAGCATTTTAGTTACATACACGTAATGTTTTATGTTCACTATTACGTACATAAACAGCATTTTAGTTACATACACATGATGTTTTATGTTTACTATTACGTACACAAACAGCATTTTAATTACACACATAATGCTTTATGTTCACAAAATTTTAGTCACACACAATGTTTTATGTTCACTATTTACATACATAAACATCATTTTAGTTACACAAATAATGTTATACATGTATATTCACTATTTACGTACATAAACAGCATTTTAATTACACACACATGATGCTTTATGTTCACAACATTTTAGTCACACACACATAATGTTTTATGTTCACTATTTACATACATAAACATCATTTTAGTAACACACATAATGTAATATATTCACTATTTACGTACATAAACAGCATTTTAATTACACACACATAATGCTTTATGTTCACAACATTTTAGTTATGTACACATAAAATTTTATGTTCACAACATTTTAGTTATGTACACATAATGCTTTATGTTCACAACATTTTAGTCACACACACATAATGTTTTATGTTCACTATTTACATACATAAACATCATTTTAGTAACACACATAATGTAATATATTCATTATTTACGTACATAAACAGCATTTTGATTACACACGCATAATATTTTATGTTCACAATATTTTAGTTATGTACACATAATATTTTATGTTTACAACATTTAGTTACATGCACATAATGTTTTATGTTCACTATTACGTACATAAACAGTATTTTAGTTACATACACATACTGTTTTATGTTCACTATTTATACATTAACAACATTTAATTACACACACATAATGTTTTATGCTCACTATTACGTACATAAACAGCATTTTAGATACACACACATAATCTTTTATGTTCACTATTTACGTACATAAACAACATTTTAGTTACATGCACATAATGTTTTGTGTTCACTATTTACGTACATAAACGGCATTTTAGTTAAACACACATAATATTTTATGTTCACAACATTTTAGTTATGCACACATAATATTTTATGTTTACAACATTTAGTTACATGCCCATAATGTTTTATGTTCACTATTACGTACATAAACTGTATTTTAGTTACATACACATACTGTTTTATGTTCACAACATTTTAGTTACATACACATGTTTTATGTTCACAACATATTTAGTTACACACACATAATGTTTTATGTCCACTATTTGCGTACATGAACAACATATTTAGTTACACACATGTTTTATGCTCATTATTACGTACATAAACAGCCTTTTAGTTCCACGCACATAATGTTTTATGTTCACTATTTACGTACATAGACAACATTTTAGTTACATACACATAATGTTTTATGTTCACTATTTACGTACATTAACAACATTTAATTACACACACATAATGTTTTATGCTCACTATTACGTACATAAACAGCATTTTAGATACACACACATAATCTTTTATGTTCACTATTTACGTACATAAACAACACGTTTATTTACATAATAGCGTTTTATGTTCACTGTTACGTAAATAAAAAAAACGTCGGGTTATATATACATACATTGCAGTTTTGTGTACTGTTTACTCATACGAACAATAATTCGTCGCGCAGCGCGTGTTCGAATTTCACAAACAATGTATTTCACACGCGTTGTATACGTCGCTATGAGTCCCATACCGAACACGACACGGCACGACGACTGCCGCCCTTTAAGTACACATTACGTCACATACTTTATGTTAACACTTTGATATATAAGTAACCGTTAGTTACACAATTACGAAAATTTAAGTAACAATCTTGTAGAGATAATTACATATTATGTTTTTTAATTAAGCAATTAAATTGAAGAATAAACAACTTGAATGTACATGACTAGGAATGTTGTGATTCATGAGAATATGAAAACTGAACTTAGGACGGAATGAAAAGGAATGCCAGACACTTGTAGAATGTTGCCATCTCTCAGAGCTATGCACTGCCATGTTGGAAAAAAGAATGTCTTCACGAATAGCGGCGATATGCCAGTACTTTTCCATGACCAGACCGAAACCGGCTCTTAGATTAGTGTGTCTGTATAATTTACGAGAGTCAGACGGTATTGCACGGAATTCATAGAGCTCTCTGTCGGTACGGCGAGAGTTGACCTGCATGTTGGAACGCACATGCATGAACTTTATATAGACAAGAAATTGCACACATAATTGATTGGCGAATTATTTCATCTATTTTTTTCGTGATCGCTATTAAGTTTAAAATGTAGCAAATTCGGTTAAATTTGTACACTACGTCGATTTTCACATTGCCAGACGAATACTGTAGTTTTGGTATCTAAAGATCTCATATGAAAATACATGCCGGGACTCGCGATAATATTTTTTGCAGTTCTGAATTGCTGGGTTATGCACACTTCCCTGTTTCAACCCAGTTCGATAAATGAAACCATTCTGAGCGTTTACTATGTGTAAGCTGTGCACACGTTCAACATTCCGTCAATTGTTTTCACCGAATTAAGTCGCATACAGACACGTGTTAAGATGAATACATTGAATACCACGTGATGTAATTATGCACTTGCACGTAATCACGTAATAATGCATTCTCCGTCGCCGAAACTATGGGTCTTTTATCACTAAGCTAGGTAGTCGCCAGGGAACGTCCCTCTAGTTGCGGCTCTCTGTGGCTCCCTAGGTCAAGAAGACTCTGAAAGGGAGAGTGGTAATAATGGTGACTTTCACGACGAAAGAATCCCTAGTGTATGTATGAATGCGTTAATAAGGTATATGATTCAAATATTTCCTTTTATCTGGACATTTTATTATAAAATATTGTTATTTATATGGATCATAGTAAAACCTTTTTTAACAGAAGACATTTAATTTAGTGAGTCCACAGTGTGATAATACGTTTCCATGATTACATTCAAATTTGTTCCATAATACATTGCATATATGCCCAGGAATATGCTCAGTGGTGTGGAATTTGAATTAGCTCAAACTCCTCCAGTAAAGAAAATTCACCCTTCGACTGAAAATAAATAATGACGTTTTCTGAACTGTATAGGATCAATACTTCACGAAATGTTTCTCATTGGCATACGTGGTTGCAAAGAAACAGATGTAGTCAGACCAAAGTGGGATTCGAAGTTCTAGAAAATAGCTGCAGTTTTCTAGATAGTTTTCCACTTCCAAATCTCTAAACCAAATTAGATGTCGTCGCTGGCTTTCTAACTAAACCCATCCAAAAGTTCAGAGTGTGTCTCAGTTTCGCACAAAACAGCCACTCTGTTGGAGCCTATGGGAGAAGCATCCGAATTCGGGGTCTGGCTTCGCAGGTCTTTCACGGCATTTGAGACTGCATTTCTTAATATAGTATGCAAATCAGACTAAAATTATGTTTAACTAAACTATGTTCCCTTTCATTTATATCTTGTTTTGCCATACATGACTAAAAATAACACTTTGAGAAAATATTTTGACAGTAATACGAATCGGACATACCGTTTTAAACGAAGTGTGCTGAAACTATGCGATGGCATATCGTTACATTGGTCTGGACATCGTCATGGGCGTTTTTTATGATTGTGGACCCGTCGAATTCACTCTTACTATATATGCCACATCCCTTATTATAACGTATGAAAACACTTTCTTGATACCACCGGATCTGAGGGCCTGGTTATCCAACGTAGACTGGCGC